CAAGCAAGGAAATAGTGGAATGAAATACTTAAATTACTTAAAGAAAAAAGACACCGCCTAGAATTCTGCATTCAGTAAAGTTAAGAAAGACCTTTCTCAAATAAAAATTGAGAAACTGTCACCAGTAGACCTGTCTTATAAGAAATTTAAAAATAAATTCTTCAGACAGGAGGATATAGGTCAGAAACTAGATCTACATAAAGGAAGAGCATTAGAATAAATATATAAAAGAATAAATGAAGACAAAATAAAATCTTAAATTTTTCTTATTCTTAATTGACCTAACAGATAACTGTTTGTTCAAAACAATAATGATAGCAACAAACTGTTTGGTGATTATAGCTTATGCATAAGTGAAATGAAAGCTAATGTTATAAAGGCCAGGAGGGAGTAACTGGGAATACTCCGCTGTAAGGCACTAGCACGATCATGAAGTGGAATATATTACTTGAAAGAGCACTTGGATTAGTTGTAAAATAATACTGCAAAGACAAGGGCAGCCACTAAAAAAAAGTCTTTACAAGTACAAAGATGTGCTAAATGGAAGAGGAAAGCCAGATATAAAAAGACAAATATTGTATGCTTCCACTTAAGTGCAACAGGCAAATTCATGGAGACAGAAAACATAACAGAGGTTACTAGGGGCAAGAGGAGGAAAGTAGGAGGAGAAACCCTGAATACGGGGTTTCTATTTGAGACGATGCAAAAGTTCTGGAAATGCAGAATGCTAGTAATACAACACTGAGGAAGCACTTAATTTTTAAAAAATCTTTAAAATTGAGGAGTTTTAATACACATCTTTAATTAATTGCAGTCCGCTTACAAATAATACCATACCACTTCATGTGCTGCATAGACATTATAACCATACACTCCCAAATCCTCCCTGCCATCCTTTGTGCTACTATAGTTACACATGCTATAAACATAATATATTGCTACCATTTTTGTTTCAAACTGGTAACTTTTAGAGACATAAAAAAAAACGGAAAAAATAAACTTTATATCTAGTGTGTATGTATGCCATTTCCATTGTTCTTTATTTCTTTCTGTAGACCCAAGCTTCTGTCTTACATCAAATTCCTTCTGCCTTAAGAACTTCCTTTAATATTTTTTTAAGTAATAAAATCTTTCAATTTTTGTTTTCCTGAAAAGGTCTATATTTCTCCTTCACTTTTGGGAGAAACCTCTGCTGAGTATAGAATTCTGGGTTGATAGGTTTATTTTTTTCAACACTTTACTTTAAAGACCTTACTCTACTGTCTTCTAGTTTGCAGTTTTGAAAAGAATTTCACTATAATTCTTATATTTGTTCCTCTATATGTAACGTGCCTCTCTTTTTCTCCCTCTTGCTTCCTTCAAGATTTTCTGTTTCCCGTCGGATTTCAGTAAACTGAATATGATGCACCTGGAGGCATTCTGTTTGCTGTTTATTATTCATCCTGCTTCGCACTGCCTGAGCTTCTCTGGTCTGTGGTATAGTATATTTCCTTAGGAAAACTGTCTGCCACTATCTCTTCCTCATTTTCTCTCTTTTCTCCTTCTGAGATTCCAGTAACACTCAAATTAGACTTTTTTTTTATATTGTCCACAGCTGTTGGGTATTCTAGTCTAGTTTTTCCCCCCACTCTTTTTTTTCCTCTCTGTATTTCAGTGTGGGCAATTTCTACTGACTTGCCTTCAAGTATACTGATTCCTCCCTCATTTGTGTCAAGTCAACTGTCAACTGATAAGCCTGTCAAAGGCATTCAGCATCTCTGTTACCATGTTTCTCATTTCTTTATTTCTATTAGACTCTTTCTAATAGTTTCCATCTCTGCTGAAATTCCTTTTCTGTTCATGTGTGTTGTCCACCTATTCTGCTGAAACCTTTAACATATTAAATTAATCACAGTTATTTAAAACTCTCTCTGATAGTTTCACCATCTGAGTCATATGAGTGATTCTGTTGACTGCTTTGTCTCTTGACAGTTTGCTTCTTTGTGTCTCTCTTGCTTCTTTGTGTGTCCCACAATTTCTGGTTGAAAGCTAGACAACCTGTGTGGAACAATCAAGACGGAGGCAAATAGTATTTATGACTGGAAATTAGCATATTTCTTCTCAGGTCTTAAGTTCAAGAGAAAAGGTTAAAACAATCTAGTTAGGAGTGGAGCTGGGTTTGGATTTTGTTTTTGCTATGGTTATTCACAAAATACCAGAGTCTTCAAATTCCACTAGGATTTTCTAGTGGAATTCTAGTATTTAAAGTGTAGGCTCATACACCATAGGGTATTTTCTCTCAGTGTTTGATGCTCCACCCTCAGATTTAGATCTTCTCTTTGTGACTATACCTCTTTTGTGACTACACTTTTCTTAATGACGGTCTCTCCACTCTCCCCCACAAATAGACCTCTGTTACCCACAATTTTCTAATTCATTAGTGGGAGACAAGCATTCTGAGATTTAGCCTCAGTCTTAGCAAGACTCTGTGTCCCTTGGTCTTGAGGGTGGAAACTTCTCAGTGATCCTACCCTTCCCCCAACTGTAGGGGACCTCTGATGTTACAGCATGTATTCCTGCTCATCTGCCAGGGATGGTGGGATTTCTTCTGTTCTGTCCCCAGGCTGCAATGGGTCCTCATCTGTACCCTGAGGTTAATAGGGTTTACATCCCTTTCCCTATCAGCTTGAAGCTTTTGTTCTAGAAGCCCCAGGTAAAGCTTTATGCCTTTCCCATAGTGGGTACAGTTCTCTCCACTAGACATGCACTTTGAAGAAGGCTTTTTCACTATCTTAGACTCTTCTTTGCAAATGTGGTTTATATCTAATTCTTTCTTCAGCCTTGTCTTCCCTCCTTCCTTTATGCCAAATTTGGTCCTGTAAAACTTGCCAGTGGCTTGGACATCCATTTCCATTGTTCTGGAGATCTGAGTTCTACCAGTTTTGTCCATGCTCTGCTAGCCAGTCATCCCTTCTCAGTATCTTCCTATACCCATGCTTTATTTTTACTACGTTTGGCAGCCCTTCACCATATGCTGATTCAGGTTTATGGTTAGGCCAAATCCTAACCCAGAGCAAAGCCCTAACTCTCCTTAATTGTATGAAGGCTGAAAGAGGTAAAAAAGCTGTAGGAGAAAAGTCTGAAGCTAGCAGAAGCTGGTTCACGAGGTTGAAGGTAAGAGGCCATTTCTATAACATAAACGTACAAGGTGAAAGAGCAAGTGCTGGCCTAGAAGCCGCAGCAAGTTGTCTAGAAGAGCTGGCTAGGACACTTAATGGAGGTGCTACACTAAATAACAGATTGTCAGTGTAGATCAAACAGCCTTGTCTTGGAAGAAGATGTCATTTAGGACTTTCATAGTGAGAGAGGAGAAGTCAATGCTTGGCTTCAAAGCTTCAAAGGACAGGCTGACTCTCTTGTTAGGGGTTAATGCAACTAGTGACCTTAAGCTGAAGCAATGCTCATTTACTATTATGAAAATCCTAGGGCCCTTAAGAATTATACTAAATCTACCCTGCCTGTGCTCTATAAATGGAACGACAAAGCCTGGATAACAGCACATCTGTTTACAACATGGTTTACTGAGTATTTTAAGCCTGCTGTTGAGACCTACTGCTCAGAAAAAAAGACTCCTTTCAAAATAGTACTGCTCATTGACTATGCACCTGGTCACCTGAGAACTCTGACAGAATTGGGCAACAAGGTTAATGCTGTTTTCATGCCAGCTAACACAACACCCATCCTGCAGCCCACTGATCAAGGAGTCACTTCAACTTTCAAGTCTGATTACTCAAGAAATACATTCCATAAAGCTATAGCTGCCATAGATAGTGATTCCTCTGATGGATCTGAAAATTGAAAACCTCTTGGAATGGATTCACCATTCTAGATGCCTTTAAGAACATTTGTGATTCGTGGGAAGAGGTCAAAGAAGAAGAACAACAACTTTGAAGAAGTTGATTCCAACCCTCATGGGTGACTTTGAGGAGCTGAAGACTTCAGTGGAGGAAGTAACTGCCAAATGAGGTGGAACAGCAAGAGAACTAGAGTTAGAAGTGGAGCCTGAAGATGTGCCTGAATTGCTGCAACCTCAAGATAAAACTTTAGTGCGTGAAGAATTGCTTCCTATGGATGAGCAAAGAAAGTGGTTTCTTGAGATGGAAACTATTCCTGGTGAAGATGCTGTGAAGATTGCTGAAATGACAACGAAAGATTTAGAATATTACATAAACTTAGTTGATAAAGAGCATCAAGGTTGAGAGGACTGACTCCAACTTTGAAAGCAGTTCTCCTGTGGATAAAATGCTGTTAAACAGCATTGCATGCTACAGAGAAATCATTCATAAAAGGAAGAGTCAATCCATGTGGCAAATTTCACTGCTGTCACATTTTAAGAAACTGCTACAGTCACCTCACCCTTTAGCAACCACCACCTGATCAGTCGGCAGCCATCGACATCCAGGTAACATCCTTCACCAGCAAAAACATTACAATTTGCTGAAGGCTCAGATAATGGCTAGCATTTTTAAGCAATAAAATATTTTTAAATTAAGGTATGTATATTGTTTTTTTAAGACATAATGCTGCTGCACACTTAAAAGACTACAGTTTAGTTTAAACATATTTTTATATGTACTGGGAAGCCAAAAAAATTCATGTGACTCATGCTTTATTGAGATATTTGCCTTATTGTGGTGGTCTGGAACCAAATCCACAATGTCTTCAAGGCATGCCTGTACAAGAATATAAACCATTTTCTTCAAATTATGACTGGCCAAAAATAAAGGAATATTCATGACTGGCCAAAAAGACAAGTTCACTTTGAGTGGCAGAAAATACACAAAACCAAAAAGGGTTTTACAATAAGTCATTTTCTTAGTAAGAATGGCAAAAGGAAGAAAAAAGAAAAAGCACTCAAGTTCTTTTAAGTACTCGACCTTAAAATAACTCTAAACTAACGATGGTACAGTGAGTCAAAGAAAAGAGATATAGTCAGTAAAGCAAATAAAATTACTGCTCACGTGTTTAAAAGACCCGTAGGGAACTGCTGTGGACCCTGTCTCCTCTAGATAATCTTCCCAGCTTAATTCCACTTCTTCCACACTGGATCCAGCATCTGGAATTAAAAACAATACAAAACAAAAACAGATAAGATCTAATTAAAGAAAACTCAAGGTGTAACAGCATCAACTTAGTAAATTCAATGTACAATTTACTTCACAAGTTATTGATTTTACACACAAAATAATTGTCCTGTTTAAATGATACATTCCCTTTGTGCACTGATTATCAGTCAACCTCAACACTGCAGAAGTGTGACATGCTGTCTCCTGCTGGGATCCGCCTGGGATTCACCCTAATGGATCACATAAAGCTAGTGAGAGTATAACTATTACATCACTTTGGATTATAATTTAGTATATAATGCCAAATATTTGAGATACTTAATAGGCGTTTCAAACTTAAATTTTCAATCTGATTCTTCCTTAGTACTCTCCAACTGAGTAAAAGATACTTTGATACTTTGGTTCAATCCAAAAAATGTGGAGTTACCCTTTTTCTCTTCCCTTTCTTTCACATCTTACATCCAATCCATCAGAAAATTCTAGACCTATTACCTTTATCTAATGACTTCCCACCACTTCTCTGCTGTCTCTCGAGTCCAAGGCCTAACCACAGTATCACCTTACACATCTTGTTATCACACTTACAATAAAACCTAAAATCTCTGGGAGACTGCAAAGGCCCTATGTGATCTGACCCCAGCTGCGCACCCTGCTGCTGCACCCTCAACAGCCTCGTTTGCTCACTGCACTTGAGGGGCACTGAGGGACACTGCCCACTCTAACCACGTTCTTTCCTCAAAGCCTCTGCATTTGTTATTTCCTCAGCTTAAAGACTCATTATCTCTACACTGGAATTTGACATAACATTGTAAAATGACTATAACTCAATTAAAAAAATAAAAGACTCATTACCCAGTGTCATTCACAGCTTCACTTTTCAAGGCCCTACTCAAACACCTCTCCAGAAAGGCTACTAGAAAGGCCTCCATAAGTATGCATCTAAAGTAGAAACTCCCAGCGTCTGCTTTCATTATCTTCATAGCATTCACTCCTACCTGACAGTATACCACATGTCTTTTTATCTTCCCCATTAGATAATCTACTGGAATCCAACAATCCCAATTCACATAAGCTCCCTAAGAGCGGGGTTTTGTTCACTGATGTATTCCCACTGCCCAAAACAATGCCTGGCGCTAGCAAGTCTGCAATAAACAGTTGCTGAATGAGTATACCCTTGGGGAACCCATGCTTCACACAAACACAAGGAGGCAAATACAAGGATGCTCATCACAGCACTGTTTCTAACAGCAACAGACAGAAGCAATCAGTAGGAGAAAAGATAAAGTATGGCAACCCTACTGTGGAGTACTACTATATAGCAGCTGAAATGAATGAACTATATTGACTCAGATAAATCTCAAAAAAAAAAAAATCACATCGAGTGAAAATGGTAGGTGCAGAATGAAAAGCACAAGATACAATTTAGGCTTCAAGATGAAACTTTACAGTATAATATTTATAAATACATGCATATCAATAACAGTATAAAAACAAGGATGGGAAGAATATACATCAACCTTAACAATGCTACCTTTGCGGACAGAGAGAAGAGAAATTAGAAGGAAAGTACAAAAGAGGCTTAAACTGTATTATGTTTTATTTCTTTTCAAAAATGAAACAACACATGAAAACATGTTTAACCTCATTAGGGAAATGCAAATCGAAACCACAATGAGATACCACCTCACACTCATTAGGATGGCTATAATCAAAAAAAGCAGAAAAATACATTATCATTAGAAATACAACAAGCCAACAAAGACTACTGGGAGCATCCCTGAGGTGTGAGCCAGCAGGAAGTCAATTATCCCTTCACTAAAACATAACAGGGCTGGACAGTCATGGTCCTTAGCAAGAACCCTATTCCATCAAACAGCATACTAATTTAAAAATAAAAAAACAATGACAATAAAAACAGTAAGTTAAAGGACTAAAATCTCTCATACATCAAAAATTACCTAAACCTGAGAACAAGACTAATTATGAGAGAAAAATGAGCATGAAATGATAATTTATTTAAAAAAATACAAACAGCCCTTAAACATATGAAAAGATGTACAGATTTATTCATTTTAGAAGAATGCAAATGAAAACTACACTGAGATATCAGATTGGGAAAAATCCCAAAGTTTGGCAACATACTCCATGGTGAGGCTGTAATTAAGCAGGTAAAGCATAAGGATACAACCCTAGTGAAAGAACTTGGTAATATCTAGAAAAATTACATAAGCATTTACCTTTTGATTCAGCAATCCCACTTCTAGCAATCTACCCCAAAGGTATGCTGGCAAAAATACAAAAAGACACATGTACAGAACTATTCACTGTAGCACTATTTGTAATACCAAGACTGGAAACAATCCAGAGGTACTTCAGTAAGGAACTGGCTACCACACAGCTGTAAAAAGGAATGAGATTTCCACATACTGATGTGGAATAGTCTCCAGTATATATTAAGTGAAACAGCAAAATACAGAGCAGTTTCCATTATAGCTTCTGTTTTTCGTATAAGGTGAGAAAGAGATCAATATGAACATATTTTTACACTTTAAAAAATGAATAGAAGCATAAAAAGTAATAAAACTAGTTATATATATGGAGAAGAATAAAAAGGATGAATACTATCAGGCTGAAAGTAGGAATGTTGTTATGTCACTTTGACTTTGTACTATGGATATACTTTACACAATTTAAATCAAATATTTAAATCAAATAAATTCTAAAAATTGAAAATGAACTTAAACAAATATCCTTAACAGTTGGTGGCAAAACCACAAAGAAAAGCTGTCATATTTAAAACACAAAATTGTGACTGCAAACCCCAGTGGGATATATTTAAAGGCAAAAATCATAAAGAAACCTTAAACTGCACACTATTATTCTATTGATATTTGTAATGTTAGTATCATTATTGTGAAAAAACTATAGGAATTTTATAGGATAAAAGCAAGTAAGTAATGATATTAACATAATTACAAAACAACACGTTTCCAAAAGAAAAGAGACACAAGTATAATTATCAAAGAAATAAAAACCCTGTAATTTTAAATTAAAATTGTAAAGGTTAGATGAAACCATCCGATCTTCTTTGCTCTTCAAAAGATGTGTTACTTTCCAGCTATGGTTATGGATAAGGCATAGAAGAAATGGCAATCTGCTATCAACGGGCACCCCACAACCTGGGTTGTAGTCTCTAAATATCATATGAACTTTTGGGGGTTAAAAAAAAGAGCTCCTCAGAGAAATGGCAGCTTGCAAGTTTGGGGGCAGGAAACATGCAGGAGGAACCTCGAAATCTCATTACACCGGAAGGCAAGGACTAGAGCTATCAAAGATACATGGCATCACATCAAAAGAACACAGGAACCAATCTAAAAGAACTCTCACTGCTCTAGACTGGGGCATTTGATCATCAAATAAACAATGACAGCAATGGATTCAAACTCATATACTTATATTACAGATATACATCTATATAAATAATATATGAGTTAATAATACCATTTAAAACAAAGGAAAACAAATCAACTTCCTAAATGGCAGAGTACTTCAGTGAACCTACTCTTCCAGAAAAGCAGCCAAAATACTAGCTTAACAATGAAAACTGACCATTTCAAAGTTCTGAAATTAACTGAAGGCACAGAACAAACTGAAAAGCATCCACCCAAGACAAGTTATTAAACCTCTGTTAGAAAAGTGAGATTGTGGCACTTTAAGTTGGAGCTATCCCCATCTTTCATTCCTTCCCAGCATAAAATAGAAACTTTGGAACTGGTAATACATAACCAGAACAACAACAACAAAACCCTCCATGGATAAGCTCTACAGGAGAATGGGGAGGACAGAGAAAAGAACTACTAAAATTAAAGAGCAACAGAAAACACCCAATCTAAACAACAAAGAGAAAATACTAAAAAAAAAAAAATGAAAAGAGCTTCACAAAGCTGTTGGAACAATAACAAAAGATCTAACAAAACTGTCAACCAAAAAAACTCCCTAATGAAGAGAAAGAGAACAGGGTATTAAAAAGTACTAGAAGTAATAACGGTTGAAAATGTTCCAAACTTGTCAAAAGACATAACCTTATATAGTTTAAGAAGCTAAGAAAACTGCAAAGGTAAACCCAAAAGGGAACCCAAAAGGAAATCTGTGCAAAGTTACACCAGTGTCAAACTTCTGAAAACTAAAAAAATCTTGAAAGCAGGAAGAGAAACAATACCTCTCTTAAGGGGAGTAGCAGGAGACAGGATTTTCACCAGAAACAGAGACCAGAAGGCACAATATTTTTCAAGAGATGAAAGAAAAGAACTTTCAACTCAGAATTCTATATTTAGCAAAAACATCCCTCCATAATGAGTGGTGAAATAAAGATATTCTCAGATGAAGGGAAACTAATAAATTTTACTACCAACAGATCTACTCTAAAAAAAAATGGCTAGCGGAAATTCTATAAACAAAAATGAAATGACAGAAGAGGGAATCGTGGAAAATCAGGAGGGGAGAAAGAACAAAGGAAAGAGTAAAAATACTGGAAACTATGACACATTTTCCTTCTCCTCTTAAATTTTCTAAGTTATACTTGACAGTTGAAACAAAAATTTTAACAATGTTTGATGTTCTCAAAGCATGCAGAGGAATATTCAAGACAATTGTATTATAAATAAGAGAAAGTAAAGAGATATAAAAGTAGGTAAAGTTTTGTGCTCACTTCGGCAGCACATATACTAAAATTGGAACACTATACAGATTAGCACGGCCCCTGTGTAAGGATGACGTGCAAATTCGTGAAGCATTCCATATTTTTGTACACCAGAAATTAACACAACATTGTACACTGACTATATTTCAATAAAAATTTTTTTTAAATTAGGTAAAGTTTCTACACTACACTCTAATAAAATGACACCAGCAGACTGTGACAAGCTAGGTATATATAATGTAATACCTAGAGCAACTACTAAAAAGCTATACCAAGAGATACATTCAAGAACACTACAGACAAATCAAAATGGAATTCTAAAAAAAATTTTCAAGTAACCCATAGGAAGGCAGGAAAAGAGAGAAACAAAAAACAGAGAAAACAAATGAACAAAAATGGCAGACTTGAGCCCAAACATATCATTAATTACATTAAGTGTTAAGGGTCTAAATGCACCAATTACAAGATGGGAAAGAAAAAAATTTTAACGACTATATGCTGCTATAAGAAACTTAATTCAAATACAGTGATTTAGACAGGTTGAAAGCAGAAGGATGAAAAAGATGTACCACATAAACATAAATAAAAAGAAAGTAGGAATAGGTAAATCTACATAGCAAGAAAGTAGAGATGGTTGCCAGAGACTGGATTAGTAAGAAATGACTGCTAATGGTTTCTTTTGAGGAGTGATGAAAATATTCTGGAATTAGATAGTAGTGTTGGTCACACAACTTTGTGAATAGACTAAAAACCACTGAACTGGTACTCTAAAAGGGTGAATTTTATAGTATGTGAATTATATCTCAAAAAAAGTACTTCAAAAAGCTGTTTTGGAAGAAACTTCAATAGTTTAAAAACTCATTACTAATTAAAAAGCCAACAATATAATTAATGAAGGAGCCAAAGATATGAAGACATTGTACTGAAGAGGATATAGGGATGGCAAGTAAACACCCCTTCAACATCACTAGCCATTAGGGAGAAACAAAGTAAGACCAGGATAAGCTGTCATTACACATCTATCAGCATGACTTAAATAAAATAGTGACAATACCAGAGGGCTGTGAGAGTGTGAAGAAATTGTATCTCATACATTGCTGGTAAGATTGTAAAATGGAACAGCCACTCTGGAAAGTAGTTCGGCAGTTTCTTTACTAAACATATGATCCAGTAATTGTGTTCCTGGGCATTTATCCCAGAAAAATGAAATCTTACATATAGGATTTTTCATAGAACCTTTATTTATAAAAGCCAAAAACTGGAAGCAACCAAAATGTACTGCAGTAGATGAGTGGTTAACCAAAACACAGTATATCCACAGAATACTGCCATGCACTAAAAGGGAACAGACTACTGATACAGGCAAGAATTTGGATGGATCTCGGGCCATTATTTTAAGTGAAAAAAAAGTCCACCTCAAAAAGTCACATACTGTGTGGTTCTATTTATGTAACATTCTGGAAATGACAAAATTATAGAGATGAAGAACATTTTAACGGTTACCTGGGTTTGGGGAACACTGGGGAAGAGGAGTAAGTTTAACTATGAAGGAGCAGTACAAAGGAGCTCTGTGTGGTGATGGAACAGTTCTGTGTCTTGACTGAGGTGGTGGGTACAGGAATCTACACATGTAATAACACGACAGAGAACTACACACACTATACTTAAGTCAACTTCCTGGCTTTTATATTGTACTATACTTAGGTAAGATGTAACTTATGGTAGAAACTCGGTGAAGGGTACATAAGGACTGTCAGTATCTTTGCAAGCTCTAATGGATCAATAATTATTTCAAAATAAATTAACATTTGTAATTTTTTTTAAACAAAGCCTGTTCATAAAAGTTATTTACTTTTTCAGCAAACATTTTGAGAACCTAGTGCCAGGTTCTCTACCAGGTTCAAAGAAAGACAACTCTTGTTTTCAAAGAGTTCCCTGTTTAGTGGCAGAAAAGACAAGCCAGACAACATAACACAGGTAAGTAATGTAATTCTGCATCTGAATGGATTTTGCTCAGCAAAGCCTATACCTGCATCAATCTGCTGCTCCCCGTTCATTTCCACAGCACATGGGCTATCTCCTCCCCACACAAAGGACAGGCCTTATGGTTCCGATACAATCTGAAGATTACTTGCAGGTCTCAAGCATCTGTTCAATGGGCATCCAAGGGTCCAAATGAAAGCGCTGAAAAATCAAAAAAAAAAACACATAAAACAGGCTGCAGCCCAATGTTTATATATTGGGTTATATAGTGGGTTAAGAGGGTAGATGAAACAAAAACATACTGGCAGAATAGATGGAATTAAGAGAAAAAAATTTGACACCTTTTCTAATTTTAAACACTCAGTGTGTGGTGGGGGGCAGGTGTGGAGAGAGGGAGAGAGAGAGAGACCAAGAGAGACAGAGGCAGAAAGAAAGGGCTATCAAGATCTTGATAAGTTATCCAAAAATCACAACAAATAAAGATATATGAACCACTACCCTTTCAACTTAGATTCTAATACTGACTACCACAATTCCTATCCACAAAAACTCCAATTTCTAATGAATTCTGGTTGGGGGAGAAGTTAGTTTTCAATGATCTGTCTTACCCAGTGAAAAAGATTCAGGATACAGCATACTACTTTATCTAGTTTTCCATTCCATTTACCAAGAATATTATGCAGAACCAAAAAGTATCAACTACATTTGTCTAAAATTACACTTATAAAGAGAGCCCAAACCCTTCATAATAAGCTCTGAAACCAATTATTCTTTTTTTAAACAGCTTTATTGGGATATAATTCATGTGTCAAAATTTCCCATCTTAAGTGTACAATTCAGTAATTTTTAGTAAATTAAGAGAGTTGTATAACCACCACTATAATCCCATTTTAGAAGATTCCCATCACCCTGGGAAGAAACTTCATTCCTACTTCCCCATTCCATCCCTAGCCTCAGGCAACCACTAATCTGCTTTCCTTCTCTAAAGATTTTGCCTCTTCTGGATATTTCATATAAATGGAATCATACAATATGTGGTCTTTTGCATCTGATTTCTTTCACTTAGCATGTTTTGAAGTTTATCCATGCTCCAGCATGGATGAATCTATTTATTTTTGCTTTACATACATGTGAAACAATCTAAGGCCTATACATATGCCTCCTAGATGAGAATGAGTAAATGAAAGGGGGGAAGGAACTGCTGCAGGAAGGGTGACATGAACTAACTGCAAGGGGGACAGTGCAGAAAACTGTCAAGGTGGGACAGGAACTCAACAGCCACAGCTGCAAGGGTGATACCTACAGGAGCAAACACCACTGAACATCTCAAAAAGATTCTAAGCGTGTATTAGACCTCTAGTAAGAGTCTCATAAAAATCTTTTAAATAGTAAGAAAATTAGTTTAAATTTTAATATACCCTTTGAAAAGGTATAAGCTACCTAAAGTACAACAGAGTGAGCTGGGTAACAGGAAAATCCAGGTTCTAGTTCCAGCTCTACTGCTAACTAACTGCAATCTTATATAAACCCTATTATGTCCATTTTTAAAATCCGTAAAATGAGTGTAAGATCATTTTCAGCTTTTAAAATTACATTTCATAATGAGCATAGGGAATATTTTAATAACTTAAATTATGGATATCCCATCTGAGGTAACTGCCAGTTATTCCAAATCTTTTCATGTAACACAAGCACTGAAACTCACATTTGCACAGATAGTAACAATTGAATAGAAACTTGGTAATGAGATTTAAAGCCTCTAAGTATGCTCTCTTCTCTCAGTTTACTTTTCTACAAGCCCAAGACATTCAAACTGACCATTCCATCTACTAACTCACTCACCCCTCCTTGTTTACCAAATAAATACCATTACCATCCACTATTCTAGAAGATAAAAGTAAAGCAATCAAGAGAGACATGGTTCCCGCACTCATGATGCTTATTTTTTTTAACTTCTCAAATATTTTACTTAAAATGCATACTGTGTATTTAGGCCACTTCCCACTAGCGTGGGAAACCTTTGTTGAAAAGATATTTACAAATATACTATGAATATATAGTTCCTACACAAAACTATACACTTTACCAAAATTTGAATTCCTGATATGCAGCACACTCACGATCGTCAAGACAAACATGGAGGAAAGTGATGGGTAACAGTGATCCATGAATAACATAAATTAACCTGAACAAAATTTATGTCATGCATCATCAAAGAAAGATACACCTGATCTTGTATCAGTTTCAAACATTCTTGGCTCAGTAATATTCAAGAAAATATACACATTTAATTGTTTCAGGTTGATTCCTAATGCTCAAACTATTTATACCAAAATTTACAGAAAATAAGATAATCTCTGCATCAACACCTCAAAATAAATGACTTGCCTAACATCCACTTCTCAACTGCATTAACTCCTATAAAAGTGCAACTTTGTATCTTCAGTTATCACTAAGAGCAACCTAAATCAAATTGGCTTAAAAATAAATTTAGTCTTTCACAAAAGAAGCAGTGCAGAGACAGCTAGCTGGCTCAGTGGCTCAACAGCATCACCCAGGTCCCAGACTCTTCCCATCTTTCTGCTCTGCCACACGCAAATCATAATTCACTGTTGAAAGACAGAGCCAGGAATCACATCTAGATAAAGAAATGTTCAGGAAGATTCCACTTCACCCTGCAGGACTCCTTGAATCTCTGAAGAAAACTTTTCCAGTAGTAACCCATTAGTTATTCCTTTATCTCTCTAGAATTGAGTCCTCCAATGACCACTCCAAACCAATTGCTGGCGATGAGAAAGGGATTATCGTTAGTGGCTGAACCTAATCAGGATTTGTCCCCTCTTCTGTGAAAAGGAATGATACCCAAACTTGGCCAGCCAACAGAAAACGACTAGCATGGTCACTATACAATGCCAGCTACAAACCCCTACGAACGTGCTCTTAATCCATTCAGGAAGGAGGGAAGCACAGTGTTTAAAAACACCATCGTATCTGGGTTTCTATTTCCGTGTATAAGTGTTTTAATTCTTGCTTGTTTCAAGTGTAATTCCATTTCCATTTGCTTTTAAGGCAAATAAATTGAGTTAAAATTTAAAAAAAAACCGTATCAAATGAAAATGCAGTTAATTCCAAGGTTACATAGTTTGTGTGCTCACCACACTTACACTTATGTAGGCATCAAAATAAAAAACAGTAGATTAAAAAATTAGATTAAAATGGGACTATTTACAGGGAAGGGTGTAGCTCAGTGGTAGAGTGCCTGCTTAGCATGCATGAGGACCTGAGTTCAAGCCCCAGTACCTCTTCCAGACATACATAAATAAATAAACCTCATTACTTCCCCCTCATAAAACAAACAAAAAAAATTTTAAAAGGGAAATAAGAGTCAAATTATGAGGCATTATTTTAAAAGGGTTACTTTGGACTAGCAATGAGAAATTTTTAAATAAAATAGCCATTGAAATTGTTAGAGAAATATTCTCCTTCCCAATCAAAATCCTAACAGAGGATTTCATTCACTTAGATGAGCTAATTTTAAAACAAAGAGAAAAATGTACAATCCAGCTCCATTTTTGTAAAAGATGACAGATGATGAAGCTAGTTTCTTCTATCAAAATATTAAAATGGTGTGGTATTAGTGCAAGAAAAGACAAACACATTAATAAAATAGAATGAAGTTAATAGATCCATATATATGAGAGTATAGTTTGTGATAAAATGGCATCCCATATCATACGTGGAAGGATGAACACATAAATAATGTTAAAGAATTGGCTATCCATTCTGGGAAGAAAAAAATTAGATCCTTACTTCATGCTGCAAAATAAATAAATTCCAGATGAATTAAAAGAGCAAAACATGAAAAACAGGACTCCAAATAAATTAAAAGAAAACATAAGAGAATATGGTTATAACTTTTGTATAGTAGAGACTTTCTTAAAAAAGCTATAAATGGATGCATTTGACTACTTAAATATTTAGAACTCTAGAAAAAGACACCATTAACAACTTTCAAAGCCAAGTTATAGACTAGAAGAAAACATTTCCATCATAGATAATATACAAATAGCCATAATCACAGAAAGCACTTATAAATCAATAAAGAAAAAGACCAAATCTAGTAGGAGAAAGTCAGATATGAACAAAAATTTTACAGAAGAAATGCAAATAACTTACAAACATATGAAAATGTTTAACATCAACAGCCAAAATTAAGTTATTGGCAAAAAAATCAGTAACATCCAATATGGGTAAAGATATGGAGATATGAATGTTGTCATCACCAGTTGAAGACCACAAATAGACACAGACCTTTCAGAGAGAAATTTTAACTTGCATTGTCTACAACCAGAACAGGAACAGGAGAAATGCTGAGAAGAGGAGAAGAGACACTGGATGTGGGGTATGAGAGAAAGCAGCATCTGGGCTGACTCTTTAAGTTTTTGATCTAAGCAATAGAAAGGATGTAATCGTTACTTAGGGGAAAAGGGAGATCTGAAGGAGAGGTAGTCTGAGGAAGAAAAATCAGGGTTCTCAGTGCGAAACGGCAATATGATTGCTTTCTTCATTATTAAAGGATTGCTCTTTCTGTTTTCAGGGAAGTTTTTTTTCAATCAACAAAAGTATAATTATTACTATGTACAGTGTTTCCAATTTATAAGCTATTTTCATATGCTATCCTTCATCTGACCAAAATAACAACTCTTTATGACACCTAGAAGAGGTTCAATCCTTACTTCACACCTTGGGAACTTTCTTAGCAGCTTCAGTCCCACTCTTACACTTCACCTGTCTTACTAGGTTCACTAATCCTCCATGAACGCATTTCCTCATACCAGTTTAGTAATTTACGCTCTCTTATTGTCTTATTTTAAAACCCCAATTTCAACACCCACAAATCTTCCATTAAAAGTACTTAAATGTCTATTTTTCTAAACCTTTTTAAATATGCATCTTTCAAAAATTTCAGACATAAATAATTTTTAAAACTGAATCAATCATACTATGAGGTTGGAAATTTCATGTCAACCAATTTATAAATCCCTGGTTCACAGCTGTTAAGTAAGGCCACTTCACAGTCCTGTTTCCTCAGCAACTGAGGAAATGCTAAACCAAGGTTTTGAAATTATTTTTCACTGTATCAAAATATGGCAGAGGCATTTATTTATCCTTATATTATCCTGTAAGCTGGAGAAATAGCAGGTCTTCTAGAGTTCAAATATTATCACGTTTTTCATTGATTTACAGGCTTTACTTACAGGAGCCAGTAACATAAGCACATGTTGAAACAGTCAATATGTCTTTATTCTGATTAAATAAAGAGGTAACTGATTCACCAACACAAACACTGTCAAATTTACCAATTTCATTAATTTTATAAAAGGATTACAGGAACAGACAATACGTTTGGTTATGAAAAGCCTTGAAACTATAATTTCATGGTTGCTATTTCTCAGCCTTCTCATGTCAAATGACAGACCAGAAACTTCATTCTAACTCAACAAATGTTTGTTAACCATTTATTCAAAAAAAAAAAAAAAGGAAAGAAGTAATGTCTGAATACCTACTATGTGTGTGCCTGGCACTTTTTTGTGTTCTACGGTAAATAAAACTGCCCAACGATACATGGTAAGCATAATATAAGTGTTAACCGTTTTTAAATTATATTTTATTTAACCCTAACCACCTACTTACCCCACAGATGATAACCCCATTCTACAGATGAGGAAACTGAGGTTCAGAGAAATTAAATATAGCTAGAAAAACACCAGGGGCAGTGTTTAAACCCTAGTCTTGATTCCTGAGTCTGAACTCCTTTAGTTTTCCTGGTTTTTCTTGGGGCTGAGGATGACTGTAAGGATGACTGTGAGGTGTCTGTCTCCTGTACCACAATGTGATGGCCATAAATAACTTACACTCTTTCTTGGTTCTTTGGTTACTCATTTATTTAACTTCAAGGTTCTACACTGTTGTATTAGAATTTTGAGTAACCAGGAGTCTGGATGGTATCTTGATAGGTGCTGCCATTAATGAACTTCTTCCAAAACATTATTCTAGTAGGCTCTTACCTAGGTTAAGTCGTATGAAAGAATAAAAGTCTAATTAAAACAAAAACTCTAAATTAATGAACACATGTAAAAAGAAATATCATGTTCTTAATCTTTAAATCAATGATAAACTTATTTAAATGAATGATAAACTGAGACTTCTGCTTAAAGTGTTAAGATTAAAGTTTTTTCTCAAACAGGTTTAAATTCCCACTTTACACCTTTATACACTTAGAAACTACTTTTTTCACAGCAATGCACAAAGTTATGCCCAGTCCAGATTCGACTCTCTCCGATTCTGTAATGGTCACTACTTATACAGCCTAATATGCTTTTCCTTCTTCCTCGCCACCAAACCCACATTTGTTCAGGGTGGAAAAGTCCCCTGTTCCACATAATACATCACGCTTAGGCAGTCTCATTCCTCTCTGTCAGACAACTATTTTGTTCTGAGCCTTCCTCATGGCTATGTGACCCAGTCCTGGCTAAAAAAAAAAAAAAAAAAAAGAGAAAGTTTACTAGGAAGCTTCTGGGAAATATATTTTCATTCCTAATTAAGAGAAGCAAGATAATTTCAAAAGCTGTAGTCTTTAATATCTCCCAGTGTTCACCTTGCCACAGCTCTGGTCAGCAAACATATCCCATTACAATGATTACAGACTATGTATTCTACTTTTTAGGGTCCCTGCAATGCTATATATAAACATACACTAGAAAGTAAACTCCATAAGAATATGCATTGTTCCATTCAACTAACACTTACTGAATGTCTAGTATGTACCAGGTTCTGTGCTGGGCATCAGAGCAGAGTATGAATGAATCAGACAAAAATCTCTGCTCCTAAGACATAGTTGGTACTCAATCAATACTTACATTAATTATGAACTGCAATGAATAACATTAATGAATTACAAAATCAAATGATTAATCACTGAACTAAAACTCTGATAGAATAAATTATTTTTAAACTGTAAAAGAATAAATTTAACTTAAACTAATATTCAGATAATTTCATATATTATACCTCTACAGCAAGCAGTTTTTGTTATATAGCTAATAAATTATATATTTTGATCCCAAAGAATATTTAAGTAAAAAGACCTGGCAGGCAATCATAATTTTAAGCAAACTGGAGAATTTCCAATTTCTCAAGAAAAAGATATATGTGTGTAAACTGAAAGAGAAAGTGTTCCTTCAGTATAAATTTTGCTATACCTCTAAGGAATAAGTTTAAAGAGTACACTAAACACAGAGAAGTACTCAATGAAGATTTAAGTCAAAATTCAAAATCTGATTTCTGGCCCCCCAAAAGCAAAAAATTAACAAAAACTACTGTGAGAGATAAAAAGGGAAAATGGAGCTGGGAACAAAATAATGAATATTTTAAATTATTTATGGATTCTGATATCCTTATTCCCCTATTCTCCCTCCAATTACCAGGATCAAGAAGAATGGGTCATATAACTATAATCTAGGCATCTGGTAAAGGTGGCCTAAAACTCCCAGACACTTGATCAAATTTACATTGAGACCCAGCTTAAATTCCACAGGCTACCCACTCACTAGCTCAGTTTCCTCACCTGTTAAAATAGAGAATATACATACGGCAAAGGGCTGTTGTGAAGATTAAATGATAATTTACATTTCCAACAGGTACCTAATAAATCCCATCCATCAGAGTATTAGAAATATGTTTACACCCTCATGTTTCCATACAACCACATCTTCCCAGTTAAGGAAGTTAGGGGTTGTAAATTTTAGAGGCTAATGAACCTACACTACAACTTTCAAAAGTACAGTAAGTTTAACAAAATATTTTAAGAGGTTAATTTAGGCCTCTAAAAGAAAGAAAATCAAGATGTATGAAAGATCAATGCCATATCAAAAGTAATTGGGCAGTCCTGGTGAGGAAGCATGTGGCCTCAGGAGCCAGACTGCTACGGCTTGAGTCCCAGGTACACAGCTGCTTGCTGTGTGGCCTTGGGCAAGTTACAGAAGCAATTTATGCCTCAGGATCCTCATCTGTAAAATGCAGTTGTTAACAAGAGTACCCAGCCCGTAAAGCTACTTTGGTTATTCAATCAATTAATGCATGTAAAGTTTATAGCACAGTAAGCCCCCAAAGAACATTAGTTATTACTGCTTTAACAAGCCTCTTACTAGAATGAAGATACGTTTTGTTTCTAAGATAACTCCCAGTCCATAAGTAGTTGAAATACCCTCTTCATTTTTCTTATCAAATATCGTAACTCCTCCTAGCAAAGTTATATGTAGTATATATTTTAAAAATTATATTCCTTTATTAATTCTTTGATGGAATGGAATGACACTTAATTCAGAGAACAGTCAAAAGGCTAAAAAAGAATTAGTGATCAACAGGCAACACCAAAAACCTTAGAATCAGCAGGTAAGCACACAAACAAAACCTTTGTCCCAAGAGAGTAACAGGCTTTGACCTTACCCCAGAGGCCTCAAGAAGAGAACCAAGAGCAAGCTGTAATGACTGATGTCTGCAGACTTTTTGGAGGCTGTCTTCTGTCCAATCGGTCAACAAACTTCAACTTTCAATTTTTGCCCTCAAAGCTTTGGACAGAGGGCGTGATTAAAAGGCAGGGTGCTTTGGGAGTTTTGTTGCTTTGCTTGTTATATTAAGCTCACAGGTATTTTTAAAAGCTTTATGTCAGATTTGCAGTGTCCTGGACTATAATCATATGTGCTGTGCAATTAATTCACTGGAATTTTTAAAAAGAATTTAAGGCCCTAAAAAAAGATTATCAGTTGTAAATGCCAAGGAACTCTGGATAGGCTACAACTCCTCAAAATCACTATATGCACCTACATAGCATGATCAGAAAAAAAAACAGTCTCTCAAGAATGCCTCCCAACTCCAGGGCAGTGCTGCTGCCCCCTGGGGCATCCCCAGGAAACAGCGTGATGGCGACAGTCTACTGCAAAGCACTGGGCGGTTATGTCGCGGTCTATAAACCAAAGAAGCATGCTGCACATTTAATAAGAATGATACAAGGAACAAGTATAAGTTATTTAGAAAAAGCATAAATTATTTAGAAAACAAAATAACTTTTCAGTAGCTTTTAAAATAAGTGCTTCCAGAAAGGAGCAAATCTCTGGTTACTATGGGAGATATGCTGCAAACACGTGAAATCTATAAAATAATTCAGTGCAAAATATTAATTAGACATAAGAAAAACAGCCGAAATTATGCTAATTAATTAGGAATCCAACAATTAAACTCATTTGCAAGATGTAAAACCAACACCCTAACTGGCAGAACAGTCTACTTACCTGTTGTTCGGGAGTTCAGCAGGAGGCCTGGCAGCCTTTTGTTTGGTCAGTACTAGAAATCAGTTGCACCTTGTTATTTGCTTTTGTAGACTTCATTACCCACAAATATTAATCTATGCAGTGAACATCCTCTAAAAACTAGAAGTGCCTGTGTTAAATATACAGAAATTCTTGGTTAAGTATCTAAATATTTTAAACATAAATAATGACTCCTCTCCTTTTCTGTTCTTTCCCTAAAAATGTTATTTTTCCTACCATTCAACTATTGGTTGCCAGTTTTCTAAGATTAGCACTTACAAATTCCACTTTCTAGTGTGTAGTACAAAATTATCTACATAATATTAAATCCTTAAAAACACTGATTATGCTACACTAATTTCCATATTTTAAAAGAAAAAATAGTTTTTATAAAATATAAAACTTCTTTCAGTTTGAAACAGAAACAAGTACCTGAAGTCATCAAAACAAACTGACAAGAAATCAAAACTTTGCTATTTGCAAATTAACAAAAGGTAGGTTTGAGGCAAATAATTGGTTATTAGTATCTCTTTTTGAGGGAAAAAATTTCCAGCACCATCTCCGAAAACTGTTCTTACTTACATTCCAAAGGCCAGTTGTTTTTCAGAATGGGGGGTGGGTAGGTGGTAGACAAGGTTATTATTTTAACTGTATTTAAACTGTTCAGAAAATAAATGAGCTAGTTAGTCAAAACGCAGCCACTTAACTCCAGAAAAACATCATCACAAAGATAACAACTCAAAGAACCTACCCTATGTATCATTAACATGTTTTCCTCAGTATTTTCTTACAGGATATGAGCTTACAAATACAGTATTATTCTCTATTAAAGTATAAAAGAGAACTCAATTCAGTTGTTTCTCACATTGGATTCCTCCAAAACAACAATCTGAAGATTATCCCAGGCTTAGCGATATCAAGTTGGAATTTCATGTCCACTAGTCAGATGACAGACAGGACACTCAATCAGTCCTTGCTGACTTGGAAACCAAAATCTAATGCTTGAAGAGGCTTACTGTTATATCTAACTACCAAAAAGTCATTAGCTTACTTCAAATTCCTCTTAAAGCGATCTTTTAAGGGGGAAAAGAAATCAGTAAGTCATTCAAATACCAGAGTACTACTCTGGCCTGAATCTTTAACTAAATGTCAAACAAATTCAGATTGGCAGTTAGACTTCAAAGAGTCACTTTCATGAAAAAGTCTTGTCAAGAAAAGGAAGGAGGGAAAGTTTTCCCTATTTTAACAAATACTATGATGGTGGGTATGAAATTCCTACTTGGTATGTCTATGATGAGAACTAAACATCATGGAATTCTGGCCTTGAGAATTTAGACATCAGCACACCTTGCAAAACAAGTGAATAAAACTAATAAATAAAAATTATTACTATGGGGTTGCCCAGTCAACCTTGCAATTTTGGAGGGATATTGATGGAGTGGGGTAAAATAAGAAAAGAATAAAATAGTTTTCCCACTCTACTCAAATGATGAAGTTCAACATACAAATCTTTTTCCCTTTATCCCTTGGTTTTCTCCCCAAATAATTAAATACCTTATGCTCACATGACTACCTCATTTTCAAACATCTCCTTAGTGCCATCAAGAACTATACCCAGCACTACACTTTTATAATACATTAAGTCAACATCCTGGGTGATCTTTTTAAAATTTTTCTTTGTTTCACTAAATGAGATGGGTGAATCCAAAAATTAGAAAAAACTTTAATAGGTCACATCTAGTCCAACAGTCCTCATCGTTTTGTAGCTATACACCATTCTCATGCCCCAACATTTCCACAAATAACTCACCATTAACCTATGGTCCTTCTCTAGCAAGTTCTTCCCCACCCATCTCTGAGGAGGAAGTTGTCCATTCTGTGTTCCAATACCATCAATGATACAGTATAGAAAATCCCCATGAATATCCATTCCCGTGACAATCCATTCTACTTCTGAGCAGCTCCACAACACAGTCTGTCCTGGAACTGCCCCCAAGTCCCAATGGTTTGTACTCATAGGTGTGTCCACTCAGAATGAGTTTGTGCCTTTGTTCACGAGAGCCCTTCACATAGCTGTCTTGGGAGGCTGACTTCTGTCCAATCATTCATTAAACACAAAACACTTCAAACTTACTGTGACATAAGATTAGTATTTAAAACAGATACACTGATAGCCAAAAAAATCCTATTTGGGAAGAATTCTGAAAACAGAGTTAATAACTAAGATACAATGAAAAAAATAGTAAAAGTTCAACAGGATTTATGTCAACTTTGTTACTTTTCTTATTTATACTCAGGATCAAGGAAAGAACAGAAAATCTTTTCATAACCATAAAGCGGCATAAGAGACAGCAGCAGCATCAAAAATCAAGGTTATAAAGAAAGCAAGCAATTACTATATACTCATTACAAAATGCTATCCTGGAAAAAGATAAGGTCAAGATTGCAATTTGCTCTTATAAAGCAATAATTTAGTATACACACAATCTTTACCTACAAAGAAGCCAAGGAGGACAGTTTTATACAGAGCTTCCAACAGAAGAGTTTGTTCATAAGCCATTAATGCAGACAGAAAACAAAAAGAACCCTCAACTTGCTAATCAGTTGAAACTCTTTGTCTGCCAAGTCAACTGGGAAATGGTACATTACGAAAAATACCTACCCCAAATGACTTGTTAATAAGTCACTGCATTTGTAACCAGAGAGATCATACACAACTATACCACTGAAGCAAAACAGATGATAAGGAGTTCTTTTAATAAAAGTAATCCAGCTAACAAATGAAGGAATGGCAGAATCTCTAATACAATCATTTAATGGATCTAAGTGTTGACCATCAATAAACAGCTCACATCAATCGGAAAACAAAAGATAACCTGAAAGGTTATATGCCTCCTGATGGAAAAACACACCACCAACTATGAAACAGTCTTAACAACAACAACAAAAAAGTAATCAAACCTGAATTGGGTTGAGCTTCTGGATCCAACAGAGAAGTCAAAGGAACATGGTAAACAGAATCATGGTGACCCTGACCTTTACCTCACACCATGCATAAAAACTTAAAACAAACCATAAAGCTAAATGTAGGAGCTAAAATTATAAAACATCTAGGAAAAACAGGAGAAAATATTTTTGATCTAGTTGGCAAAAATTTTTTAGATGTGACTCCCCAAAAAGCACAAACAATAAAAGAAAAATCAATAAATTGGGACTGAATCAAAGTTTACAATTTCTTGTTGTTCAAAGATTCCATTAAGAAAAAGAAAAGCCACAAACTGGGAAAAATATTTGCAAAATGTACATCTAATAAAGGATTTGTATATAAAAACTTAAAATCCAATAAACAATCCAATTTTTTAAAATAGGCGAAAGATGTGACGAGATTCTTCAACAAAGATACATGAATGGCAAGTAAGCACATGAAAAGATACTCAATCTCTGTAGTCATTAAGGAAATGTAAATTAAAACCTCAATGAAATATCATTACATACCAAAGAAGATGGTTAAAGTGAAAGACTAACAATACAACAAGTGAAGAAGGATGTGGAGAACCTGCAGATCTCACACAGTACTGGTCTGAATATAAAAGAATGTAAAATGGTACAACCAGCTTGAAAACAGCGTGGTGGTTTCTATAAAACGTTAGATCCAGCAATTCCACTCCTGAATATCCACAAAAGAGAAATGAAAACATACTCATACAAAGACTTTACACAAGCATGCACTGCTATAAGCTGGAAAGAACCCAGAAGTCCATCAGTTAGTGAATAGATAAACAAAATATGGTATATCTATAAAGTGGAATATGTCTCAGCAAAATAAAAAGGAACTACTGATACAAGCGATAGTAAGGATGACTCTCAGAAACATCTCACTGAATGAATATGCCAGACACAAAAGACTACATACTGAATGACCCTATTTACATGAAATGTATAGAAAAGGAGAAACTGCAGAGAAAAAGGCAGATCAGTGGTTGCATGGGGCCAGCACAGAGGCAGGGATTATCAGTAAATGGTCATAAGGTCACTTCTTTGGGTGATGGAAGTGATCTAAAACTAAATTGTGGTGATGGTTGTACAATTAATTGTATAAACTTACTAAAATGTATCAAGGTGCTCACTTAAAGTATAAAATATGTCCGAATAAAACTTAATTTTTTAAAAGAAGAGAAAATTAAGAGACCAACTGCCAATGCCTTTGGCATCCTGCAAACAATATTTAAAAAATTATTTATTGTGGTAAAATATGCATAACATAAAATTTACCATTTTAATCACTTTTAAGTGTATAGTTCTGCAGCATTAAGTACATTCACATTGTTGTGCAACACATTAAAAAAAACCCAGCATATTGATACAATGGGAATTGAGCTCTACATGGACTTTGATGTCATGAGACTGTGAAAAAAAAGTAGGTCAATAATAGTATTGTGTTTATATATTAACAACAAAAAGTCCTTCACTTTTAGACGTACATACAGAAATACTTATCAATGAACTGACTTGATATCTGGAATTAGTTTTGAAATAATATTGGGAGTGCATGACAACCGAATGTAATGCACAATCCTTCACTAGGTAATGGATAGAAGAAAAAAAAAAACTATGAAGGACAGTATTAGGACACTTAGAAAAATGTTAACATGGACAAAAGAGATAACAGTATTATATCAATGTTAAATTCCCCACGTATGATGAATGTATTACGGGTTATGTAGGAAAATCTTATTCTTAAGAGATCCAAGCTGAAGTATTAGAAGTGTCATGATGTCTGCAATGAATTCTTAAATGTTTCCTAAAAAAAAAAAAAGCCTCTATACACGTCACACCAGTCAGAACGGCTATCATTTAAAAAGTTTACAAATAATACACACTGGAGAGGGTGTTTTCTACGTCTGTGAATCTGTTTCTATTTTGCAAATGAGTTCATTTGTGTCGCATTTTAGATTCCACATATAAGTGATATCATATGATGTCTGACTTTCTCTGACTTATTTCACTTAGCATAATGCCCTCCAAGTCCACCCATGTTGCTATAAATGGTAAAATCTCACTTACATAGCTTAGTATTCAACTGTATATATAGGCAGCTTCTTTATCCAATCATCTGTTGATGGACACTAAAGTTGCCTCCATACCTTGGCAATTATAAATAATACTGCTATGAACACTGGGGTGCATACATCTTTTCAAGTTAGTGTTTTTTTTTCAGCTATATACTCAGGAGTGGAATTGCTGGGTCATATGGTAGTTTTATTTTCAGTTTTTAAAAAACCTCCGTAATGTTTTCCACAGTGGCTGGACCAATTTACACTCCCCAACAGTGTACAAGGGTTCCCTTTTCTCTATATTCTCACTAACATTTGTTATTTGTATTCTTTTCGATGATGGCCATTCTGATGGGTGTGAGGTAATAACTGCCAAGGACAGAATTCTTTACAAGTGATCCTCTACCTCCTTTCTTTCCTAAATTAATAGTATCAGCATGGAGTGAGGGGTTTAATACTACACGAATGAGTTAATATAAATAGTAAGGTTCCAGAAAGCTTAATTTTTCTTAAATCATCAAGGTCATCCTGAGCAGAAAAATCTCTCATTTTCAAACATCCAATACAAAGTGGATGGCAGCTCACACTATGCTCTCACCAGCAAGCAGTTCTTCATTTCTAATATAGGAACAACACTGCTCTAGGTAAGGAAAGAAACAAGCACAGAAAAGATCATTTACTATTTTAAAATTTGTTTTCTATGGAGCAGTCACTTACTCTTTAAAAGGTTCAAATATTATCTGCACTATGTATTGTGTTATTTCTGAACTACAACAGAAAGAGAATTATTTCAAAGTAACTCAACATTCAGGAGTTAGGAGGTATTGTCCTCAGTTTAATTTGCACAGACTCATTTAAGCTAAAGTGAACTGTACTGAATAACTGGATGCCTGTCTTGAGCCCTCTAAATCCCACAGTACAAGACCAGTGACTGCCACCCAGAACCAACAGGCTCGAGAGCTCACAAACTTATCACCTAGTCAGCACCAGCTTGCTAAACCTGGAGCACAAATTTTCAAAACAGCCTCCTCTTTTTTCCAACAAGGTATAGGGTATTAATGAAGTACCAAAGCAACGGGAAAATACAATGGTTTAATCAAGATTTTTATTTATACATAGATTTCTGATGGCTGACTGTTCTTTGTTTTTTTGGTCTTAGCCCAAAATATTTTACAAAATTATGGCATTCAAATTTTCATTTCAGAAACAGAGCTATTCTTTTTATATCTCAATTTCAAAAGGAAAAAACCTCTTAGAGGTTCTGCATAACAGCCAATACCACAAATCAAATCCCAAACTTCACATGGAGAACTTAAAATAGTGATACCAACCAGATACTTAATAATATTTAGGAATTAACTGATTTTTACATGTGATAAATATATTATGGTTTAAAAAGTTATCATTTTAAAGATAAATACTGAATTTCTTATGAAGGGATATAACACCCAAGTAAGTTTTGCTGTAAAACAATACAGGAGGCAAAATTGTGTATGTATCAGAGAGAAAAGTACACCTGAAACAAGCTAGCTACATGTTGATAACTGTAGAAACCAAGTAATGGGTCTTTCTGTGTAATACTATCATAATAAAAAGTAAATCATAAAATAAAATTATAGTGATAAATCGCCTTCTTAAGAGGCTATAACGAAGAAGCAGAAGCAGCTGCACTGACTGTTTCAAACACAAATAAAAGTTGTGCACAGTAACATCCTGATATTCATGGATACTACCACTGTGAAAAAGCTTGCTGTATTTTCGGCAGTGTAAGGTGATTCCCATAACTAATATCCCAAATTACATGACATCACCTCCAAACACAATACATATCCACAATATATTTTGCATTTTAGAGATCTTTCTGGAAAATCAGTGATATTTAACAAGTATGTATTGACTAAAAGATCATTGTTACCTGGATATTATCAGCTTCTGATAATAGCCCATTCTTTTCTTCAACAACCAATTCTTTAAACAGTGACTGTTGAAGCTAGAGCAGTAAGGGGGAAAAAACAGTCTAACATTGAAAAATCATCTTATGAAGTTACAGATATAACATGGAATTTTAACTCAAAAAGAAGCAATATCAACCACTGTTAGCTCACATTTGGTTACTGAAACTTAAATTCATGGTCTCTCCTGTTTCATGTGCTCATAGCATGAGATACTTTCCTTCATAGCACTCTCAGGGGCATTTCTTTTTCTTTTTCTTTTTAAATAGAAAGAATTGCTTTTAATCACTTCAGTAGTTTTAGTCTGAATTTCATTTAATTATGGTAGATAATCAGATGGCAGATTTCTGAGATTTTGAGACACAACTTCTTTATCATTCATGTACAAAAGAGAAATGCTGGTCTTGTCTTGAGCTCCTTTCAGCAGCACCATCAGTCACCTATGTCACCTTGGGCAGCCAGCTAGATCCCAGCCAACATATCTACTGCTAAGCTGAAGCAGTGCATCCCTGGTACCAAAATGGGTCAAAAGAGAGGGACAAAAATTTGAAGCTTCCTTCTTGACTACAGTGTACTCACAGCACAAAGGTGTTCATCTTTTGTGGAGGAATGGGACAAGTTAAGTCAGATGCGCAATAATTTTTAACAAAATGCAAAGTTGGTAAGAGTGGTAACTTTTTTTCAATGTAAATTCAGTCTGTGTTTTTGAAAACTCAGGCTTTTTTTGGTTTTAAATTCTTGGGAGTTGAGTTGAATTAGTCACTTTTCTATTAGAAAAAATTTACTGAACACTACATAAACATGGGAAATGTAAACACATGCTAACTATGGTCCCTATACATTGAGAGCATGTAATGCCAGCTGGTAAAACCTAATAGCAACCTAACAGAGCAAATCATAACTACCAAATGCTCTGGACAGACCACACACCATGGGAGTAAAGTGGAGGAACGCCTGGGTTTGAGAGAGGTCCAGAATGAGGAAGTAACTGTGAAAAACAGAGAAGATGGAGATAATTCCAGGCAGAAGGTGAAGAGCAAAAGCAAAGAGATGGAAAAGTGCGATGTGTGTCTAAGACACAGCAACTAGACAAATTTGGTTTGGGTTGAGGGCTTCAACACAAGTGACAAGACAAGACTGGAAAAAGGTTGAGGCTAACCTGGAGGCCTTATTTATCAAAGGTCTACATTTCAACCTGAAGGAAATATGGGAACACTCAGAATTTCTGAATAGGGTTAAGTGCCATGAAAGTAAACAGCAGTGTACATACAGAGATGGGCAATGATGCTCAGGATGGAGTGGGGAGGAACAGCCTGGAAGCAAGTTCAGGGGATGTTTGCTTTAGTCATTCTAAAAGGAACACCAGAAACACAAGAAGATGAGTGACAGGAAAGGAATACTTCATTTATAAAAGATGTCTACAGTTTACAAAAGAGTTTCGCTTAAATGATCTGATTTTACCCTCAGAACAATTTGTAACGTAGAGTATCTGTCACATTTCATAAGCAAGGAACTGCTGCTCAGGGCATTCCCTTGTATGACTGTCAGTCCATGTCTCCTTTCAGGAGCTAAACTGTTAGCTCCTCAAGAGCATGCAGGGACCACTGATTCCTGTTTGCCCTGGAATCGCAGGTGCCTTGCAAAGAGGCCTGCTCAGTGCCTGATCCCAGGAGATATTCATTAAATATGTGATTGATGAGCAATGAAATAACTGAAGAGCACATTTCCTCTTCCACTCTTGTGCCAATGATACTGAAATGTTTTTTGTTTTGCTTTGTTTAATGATTGTTCTGACAATAGAAAACCTTAGACAATCATAATACCTCTTTTTGGCAGTCCCTCAACAAGAAGACCTCTTTTTACCCCTAAGTAGGAGAAAGGAAAAATGCACAAAAGCGAGTATCAAGTTCTCTAACACCTTCACAGTAGTATCAGAAAGTCACATTAAATGATACATTACTAAGGACACAAAAAAGTTGACATTTAGTAGAAATTTTTGAAAAAGTTTCAAAAATGTTCTATTTTCTTCCAGAATGGAATGGATACTAAAATTAATAGCCATGCACATGAGCACTTACAGGGCCAAAACTGAGAAATCTTGGCCTAGAACATTTGGTGCCAGTAAGTGAGAAAATGCTCCAAAGAATGATGGAGACATGATGACAATATATCAAAAGGACAAAAGCCAGCTAGACAGGGCTCCCACTGGCCAAATCTTGAACATTTTAAACATGAATAAAATTAATAAAAGTAACAAGACTATAGCTCATTGAATAAAATTGGAAACCATGAGTCCATATTGATATAAATTAATGAATCAATAAACTGAAAGTCTGATGAAGAATGGGATAGTTACATAGTTTCAAAGTACTCATCCACAAAATACTAATTAATTACAAATGGAAAAAGAGTAACTTAACAGTGGGGAAGCCTAGCAGACATCACCATAAGCAGCAGATCATCAGAAACAGGACAAACTGATCTATGCCACCAGACACGGTAGAATGAGAAACAGCATCATTTCTGTGATGTTCCTGAATTTGATCTTGAGAAAACATCAGATAAATCCAAACTGAGGAACATTCTACAAAACAGCAGGACTATAATCTCCAAACACATCAAGACCATGAAAATGAGAAGAAAGGCAGAAGAAGACTTGGCAACTATTTGCAAAGCATGATTCTCAACTGGATCCTCTTGCTCTTACCAAAAAATGGGCAGTGGGAAGGTGGGAGACATTACCGAAGCAACTGGTCATACCTGAATGGGGTCTGAGGCATATATGATGGTCATAATGTGCCAGTGTTTATTTCCTGATTTTGATGATT